TCTATTTCAACTGCTTTGAAAGTGAGAGTTTTAAGAACTCGGAAATGGTCTATTCCTCAACTTAATCGAGGTGTTGAAATAATTTATGTAATGCAACGTCATACAGACCATGTCGATGTGAGCCGTGTACTGATTATAGAAGATCAACAAAATTATGCCTATTACGGGTAGTAAAACAGTTATCGCTTAACTTTCATGCACCGCTATCTCTGTGATTCTGTGGTGATAAAAAGGCCGGCTGGTCAATAGTTTTAAATTTACAGAATATTTTTAATTCAAAGATGGTTAACACCTGCGATAACTCCACTTCGATGAATCGCATAAACATGTTCGTTGATTCTGTCGTCATCGAAAAGATCCATTCCAAGCTATAAATCGTCGGTTTTACTTTTACAGAATGTAATAACGCGACCTTTCAAAGAAATTAATTTATAAAACTAAACCTTTTACATTCCTTTTTCAGTCCTTGGCAGCAATTTTGATTTGATTTTCAAGCGCCATAGTACAAGCGACATGGTTCTTTTATCAGACGGTAAAATCATCCCTACAATGAGGTTTTTTACCATCGCCCTGTTTGTCCGAGCAGACTCCGAGTACAGCTCAGGAATACTCTTCAGCTACAGTGTGCCTGGTGTACCACAAGACGTGATAATTCTCTCATTCACTGAGTCACAGGTTAAGCTGACGATTAAAACTGAAGTTGTGGCAGCTGATTTCAAATTACCAGACAATCGTTGGAACTATGTGGGCGTAGTTTGGGATGGAACGACAGGAGATGTGTCCGTTTACATTAATGGCCCTGAAAAAAAAAGGGCCAGGAACATTCTCAAAGGTAAGATTTTATTGCCTCCTAAACCGCAACTGTCATCGGCACACAAGTTTGAAAAATCTGAAATCTTTTCACCTCATCAATCAATTGCAGCCAAACTTTACCACAAAAGACCAATCAGATATAATAATTTAGTATTCTGAACAAAACCATGGCATTCAATTTAGGAGCTAATCACTAAATCGATAACATGGACTGTAATGCAAATGGTCCATGATAACTTTGAAATCAACGATCAAAATTGAATGCACTTTCACGAGTTCAATTTTATTGTAAAACTCCAGGTGACACTATCACTGGAGGGGGATGGATGGTTCTTGGGCAGGAGTTCCTCGCTGAAACACAAACATCTTCGTTATCGACTGCTTTTGTTGGTACATTACATCAAGTCAGCTTTTGGGACGTGCCTGCTACTGCTGATGACATGTGGAATGCAGCACACAACTGTACTTGGCCTATCGCTGGAAGTGTGCGAGCCTGGACCAGTTTTCTTCAAGGAATCAAAGGCAAAGTGGAAAAGCGATTCATCACGAAATGTCAAGGTAATGAGAGTCAGTAACAGGAAGCGCTGCAGACGTTAGTGACAGCTGCAAGTGAATGAGATTAGGAGAATCCACGGTCCGTGAGGAAAAGGCTACACAACAATACACAACAATAAACACTTAGTGACTGTTCCCAAGGGAAACAGTTGATTTTGTTTCCCGACAATCTCAATGTTTCCCGAGGCAGAACCGAGAGAAACATTGAGATGCGAGTTTCATTGTTAGATTTCATGTGACCTCGAAGTAACCAATGAAAGGGCGCGCTGTTAGGTAAGAAATTTCCAGCTATATAACAATACCGTTTTATGACTCCTGGGCTCAAACGTTTCACAGCAATATCGTTTTGAGGCAGACAGATATTTAAGTGTCCCGTATAACGATTGTTTGACTCGTTTTTCGCTTGACGGGTCGAATTTAGTGGACAGTCATTTTTACCCACAGCTTCATTTTAGCCAACAGAGTTAATATTTTGAAACTTTCAGCCTTGGCCATGTGCACCACAAACTGTTCTCACTTCCTGAACTGCGAGTCTCGCCAGGGAATGTACCACTGTAACTGCGTCCCTGGATTCTCTGGACCACATTGCAACATTAACATAGATGAGTGCAAGTCTAGTCCTTGTGTCAATGGAAAGTGTATAGATGGTGTAAATCAGTATGAGTGTGTGTGCAACAAAGGCCACTGGGGAACAAACTGTGAAAAGAAGGTCAACGAAGAAAGAGGTCAGTGAAAAAAGAAAAGAGAACTTAAAGGCACATTATCATTTTTTTTCAGAGTTCCAAAGATGGGCTAGTATAATTACTTACCGCCGTTTCCCATTAGCCAAAATGGAGGTTTCTTTAAGACACGTTTGTAGTACGAAGAAAAGTTGATGCTATTTTCACTAACTGCCGGCGTTTGCTGCAAGATAAGTAGTATTTAAGCTTCTCTAGAGGAATGTGTTTGTTTACTTCTTATCGCCTCCACAGAATGCCCAAGCCTTCAACAGCCTACAAATGGCAAGATATCATGCAAAAAACGTTCCGGGAAAGAGCTATGTACTATAACATGCAACGACGGTTACTCATTCAGATCTGAATAAGTAGTATTTAAGCTTCTCTAGAGGAATGTGTTTGTTTACTTCTTATCGCCTCCACAGAATGCCCAAGCCTTCAACAGCCTACAAATGGCAAGATATCATGCAAAAAACGTTCCGGGAAAGAGCTATGTACTATAACATGCATCGACGGTTACTCATTCAGATCTGAGGCAATAACAACATTCGGCTGTGGTCCTGACACTGACTGGAAATGGAATGGAGAGGTGGACATTGACGTTCCAACCTGCACAAGTATGTACATTTGTGTCAGTTGATCTTGTCTCTCTATGTGGAAGTGATATGTTTTGGCACAGAAAATCCTTCCGGAGGAAAAACTACGTGTTGTAACATTTTTGCGGGCTTTGAGGTTTTTGCAAAGCATGCGAACGAATTATGTGAGAGTTTGCCTTTGGGTCGAGGGTCGAGGGTAACTAGTCGAGGGTCGAGGGTAAATGGTCGAGGGTCGAAAAATCCTCCACAATTATTTTTGAACGTCGTCAAATCAAAATTTCGTGTTTACTCGAGTTTCCGGTGCCTGTTTTATTTTTACATTAACACCTAGGGGCACGTGTATCATTTGTCGTTGTAACACTAGAGTAAATAATATTGAATATTGATAGCACACACCCAATGGTTTTGTTGTCTAATATTTCACTCGCTTATGACTAATCGAGGGTCGAAAAATCCTCCACAATTATTTCTGAACGTCGTCAAATCAAATTTTCAAGTAGGCTCGTGTTTACTCGAGTTTCCGGTGCCTGTTTTATTTGTGATGAAGGTGATATTACATTAACATCTAGTGGCACGTGCATCATGTATCGTTGTAACACTCGAGTAAATAATATTGAACATTGAAAGCAGAGACCCAATGGTTTTCTTGTCTAACGTTTCACTCGCTTATGAAAAGGCTGCTAATCTGGTAACTTTCACTGTTTGTCTTTAATATTTCCCACGTCCACTAGTTTTGTCCTATGTGAGACTTGGGTCAGCGCTTGAGCTTGGTTTACGAGTGTCGGGAAAGAAATATGCGATGCTTAACTTGATTATTCTGTGATTAAATATTAATTAGAAATTGACATTTGTAGCGCAAAGAAGTTAGATTTCGTGACATTAGATTTCACAATAATGTAGACAAAGTCCGAGTATATTTACGATATAAAATGATGTAACTGCATGCATTTTGTTAGGCTAAATAAGGTGAAAGAACGTGCGATTTTGTAATAGACACTTAATTTAGATACATTACAATGGGAACTTGTACTGTACATGTGATTAATGTAAAAATACTGCCTTACGCAAGGATAGTAGAAAAACCACTGTATACTTAGAATGTTTTAGTTGATCGATTCGTTGATCGTTGATCGTTTAGTTACGTTGATCGTAGTCTTACGAACGTTGAGTATGTGAGAATTGTACATCGCAGTAGATTGTTGGAATTTGCATTAAATCGTGTTATTACATCGAAAGATACAGTCCTCTTGATTTGTTTGAACCAGCGGAGCGGGATTAAAAGAATTCCGCAACAACGAGATTGGCGGTTGTATTCTTTTTTGGCAGAATCGATATAACCCAGAAGAGATGTATACCAAACGAACAGCGGAGAAACAAAAGTAAAGACGCGCTTTAGGGTGCTAAAAAAAACAGACGCGTTGTATGGCGTTGTTCTTTATTTGATAGAGTCGAACATCCGGTTGCGACCACCTACTGTAAGCGACCGCCTCTGCTCAGCTACCAGTATTCCAAAATACGAAAAGTTTCCACGACAAATCACTATATTTGAAACCTCTTGTATGCAACTACCTCTCTTAAATGATTCCGACCGCTTTTTAGAGCTAAAAGTTTGAAATTTGCTTCTACTTTTTAACCAACCGTAAGTGATCACTTGACAGATAAGAGAAAGGAAATTGGATAATAAGGTGTTGTAGCATTATCACATTCTTAGGCAGTAATTTCTCAAAGGAAGTACCGGATGTTTTCTCGAAATTGACTCTTTCTCAAATCTAAAACTTTAAAGAAAAAAAAATGCACATGCATTGTACTCTATCTTAAATCGAATCTTTTAAAAATGTCTTATAGTTAAAGAAAATTAGAGCTGAGATCTTGCTTCAAAGTTCTCAGTCAACAGTTTAATGGTATTATGGTATTTCAGTATTGAACTTCCTGTCACGCTTCTTTCCTTTGGTTGCTTTATTTGGGAATTTTAGGTTTTAAATTGAAAAAAAATTCAGAAATAATTGTGGACGATTTTTCGACCCTCGACCATTTACCCTCGACCCTCGACTAGTTACCCTCGACCCTCGACCCTCGACCAAAAGGCAAACTCATTATGTGATGTGGCCATTAACCATGCTCAAACAGAGCTCTTTTTCTGGGGTTCAGGAGTCTTAGTATAGCCAAGTGGAACGAGGAGTAACAGGAGGAGGAGTAGTTGCAGCTTCACTAGAAAATACTCGGCCAATCCTTGAGCAAAATATTTACACTGTCACCCTGGTAACTTTATAGTGCGAATACTGTGACCGGGGCCACTTAGACAAAGTTCACCAATAACCTTAACCCTAAAACAGCATCGTTTGAAAAAAAGATAGACACCGACTCCGGCCCTGGCCCCGGCCCCGACCTCGACTCCGCGTTTAACTGACAACCCACTTTCTTCGCTACTATCGCCGCACTTTTCAATAACATCACGACCTCAAGTCAAAAATGTAACTAACGTTTACGTTTTTCGCCTCCGTCAGCACTCTAACGGACCTCCCCGGAAACACGGGCTTTCTTCAGCGGGTTCAAAAGGTCACGTCTGTAGGTTGTAATTGGTTGATTTCTATCTTTGTTGTTTACTTCGTTTCGTGGTAATTATGATTGACAACTAACTTTCTCGGAATGTATTGTTATTCTCCTGTAAATCCGATTGGTCAACTTTGTCTGGGTGGCCCCAGTTATAGTAGTCGCATTGTAAGATGCAATTCCCTGTGGTAATATTTTTCCACGAAATAGACGAATACCTGTGAATGAAATCTCGTTGCCGTTTACTAGTGCACAGCGCTCCAAGGTGTAATAACAGCTTTCACGCAGTGATGAACCTATCCTCCTTACCAACAATGGTATTTTCCAGTTTACCAAGTCATTCATTAAAATGATTTTTCTTGTCAGGCAAGGCAAAGCCAAAGGACATCGAGCATCACCTTTCAATGAAGTTTACTGGGATTGGGTGTCAGATCAGTCGAGGTCTTGGCGATATTCATTCAGCTTTGGAGCAAGAAGTGGCCGACACTCTTTCAACAATACAAGGATGTCTCGACTCTAACGCCTGCAAGCTGACGAGAATCTCAGTTCCCGAATGTGGTTGGACAGCTCTTCAAAAGACAAGAAGAGCAGTCGTCGGCGCAATGGAAGTATTATTTTCGTTGTTAGTCAGACCGGTCGAGTCAGCTTCGATGACGGATGATGTTGACGAGAAAAGTGAAGCTGTGCTATTTCAGATGCAATACGCCATCTCCACTGGGCAGTTTAGGATTAGCTTACATGGTGTCAACAGCACCGCAGACAGGTCTTCTTTTAAACACCTCTCGTCTGACATCACATGTAATCCAGGGTTTGTTAAGAGCAGTGACAAGACCGGATGTGGTAAGCAGCAAATAATAAACGCCAGTATAAATTAGTATCAGTATAGGCGCCTGCACCACTCACGAAACTAAACTCTTGTTAAGTCCGTCTACAAAACAGGCCCGAAATCCTTGTTCTGAGCCCCCACCTGTGTAACAGGATTTGAGTACAAGTAGCCTGCGAACGGCAGACGTTTCTCCTCGCGAAACGTCCCTCAGCGGCCATGAGCAAGGAGAAACGTCTGCCTTTTGCAGGCTACAGTACGCGCCATGATTGGCCTTTTAGAAAAGGCATATTTGCCAATCAGGATAAAAGGAAATTCGGAACGTACTTCCAGTAATTCGTTGATTCCCTTGCCGAGGGCCCAGAACAAGATGACGTTACTAACCGGGGTTAAATTAAGTCTGCGACGCAGGCTAATATCAGTATGGCTTAAAACCCGTGTTACCTTTTGTTCTTCAATAGTCGCCTGTCCTGCGGGAACGTTCTTCCACCAAGAGTCTTCCAGTTGTACAGCCTGCTCGAAAGGCACGTATCAAGATAAAGAAGGACAGAGTAGCTGCAAACCTTGCAGCGATGAAAAAACAACGGACAAAAAAGGAGCTGAATCAGCAAACGACTGTGAGCCAAGTAAGAATAGATAGATAAGATAAAGATAAGATAGATAATGATTTATTTATCTTCTCCCCTTGTGCGGTTTTTCAGGGATGATGAAACAAAAAATTTAAATGGAACATAACATGGATAAGAATCCCAACTGGTAGGAGGCGAACCAATTGTCTATTTTACAAGCGCGGCCAGGGCGGGACTTTAATTGGGGGCCTCCGAATCACAGTCCCGCGATCTAGCCGCTCGGCCACACTGCCTGAACAACGTATAGCTGAGGCATTCAATGCGTCAAAGTTTCTTCCACTGACTTTGGACAAAATGCAAATGTAGTTGAACATATATGTTTTCTTATCATGAAAATAAGACTCTAGTGAAAAACTAGCTTAAGGATGCGTCTGTTTTCTTTAGTTCCAACAAAAACAGAGGATGGAACGCGTCTGATAAAAATCATCATAATACCATTGGTTCTTGTACTTGTCGTTAGCATCGTCGGGATAGTGCTCTACTGCAGGTATGTGGAAATCTCCTACCCTGATATCATGTCGACAGGAGATCTGGGTACTAGTCAAGATTAGGTACGTGGTGATGGCACAGGTGATAAAACCAAGTGGCGTAGCTTACACACTCAGTCACTTATCCTACCAAACCTAGCCTGGAACTTTGTCATTTGGAGCAATATGTAGTATTATCTATTCGCATTGTAGGGTGGTTAATAGGCTTTTTAGAAAAAATGAAATAAAGAACTAATAGGCCATTTTACAAGAATAAGTCTGCAATCTTTCCCGCTTTGTTTCTTACTCGATCTTTGAGCACATCTACTCTTGCTGCCTTTACTGCATGCGCGAGGGTATTCTCCATCAAAATGAACAGGTACATGAAGTAACTCTTTTGACAGGGCCTAAACTAACCCCAACGCAAACATTATTGGGGATCATCTGGAATATCTCATTCCCAAAGAACAACAGTCTAGCCCATACAGTCTTTTTGTTGTTGTTTCTTGGACGCTACGCAAGTTAAACAAATATACATTTTGTTTGTTGCCTTATTTGTATCCCAGGTGTTGCCGTCCTCAATGCCAGGACCCACCAGTCAAGAACAATAAAACACACACATACTGTCAGCGCAATCTCGCATTTGAGCCAGGGACAGGAACTACTAACAAAGAAGAGCCCCTGTACAGTGAAATACCAAGCCAACCATCCTTTAACCAACAGCACCAAGTACCAAACAAGGAACCAGTTTTCAAACGACACCAAAATGAAACACCAGAGGGGGAGGACGATTGTAAAAACAATCATTATCAAGCCCTTAAAAAAAGTAATATCCTCAAAGCCAACGATTATCAGAAACCTAAAGACATTGGTGGAGAACCACTACATGTTTATGAAAACTTTGGTACGCATGACGATCACACAGAAGTCTAAAGGAAGAAGAACGGACATTCTCTGTAGCCAAAACCCAAGGCATTTCTAAGCACCATAAATTGTAGTATAACACATGTTATAACAGACAACGCCAGCATGTAATCGAGTATGGCAAGTTCGCAAGTTCCTTATCAAAGACTAATGAAACAGTAGTTAGTATCGTAAAAAAATCTTAGGTGTATCAAAAAACACCTACAACACGGTTCAAAATTGAACTGGCTTCCAAAGTAGAACGACATAAAACTTCTTTTTCACGCTTCTAAAATATCTTTCAAGACAGTCGAAGCTTAAATTCTTTAAAAGAGACTTTGAGGCAAGAGTTTATCGTACAAGTTCAAAAATGGGAATTCACAGTTTTACCTGAAGCTTCTTTTTGTAAGTAGAACACCTACGCCACCCCTCCCCAGACTAGGCCAAATCATGCCATCGAAGCGGAAATAAATACATTGTTCTGCATGGTTCTTCAGATCCCACTGTTTGAATTTTGATGAATTTCGTGCACAGACCCCTTTAATTTGCTGTCAAAGTAAACTTCATTTGCACTTCATTTTAATGAATTTATTGTACAGTTACTCTAAGTTTCTATAAAAGCAAACTTCATTTGCACTTCAGGCTTTTTTTACGATTTTCCGTTGCAAGGGAGGAGATTAAGTCAGATTTCATTCACACGCACAGTATTGTACTCTGTACATATTGTGGCACAGGCGACCCAAACTCACGTTACGAGGGAAGGGTGTAATGTAATTTACATACCATAGGTGACGCCCTGGTGTCGCGTTACAGGCGACCGTTGAAAATATAAGAGACTTTGTATGAGAAATATATTACTGAGATCTGCGAACGCTAAATAACGCTAAACCTTACTTTTTCTTAAATGACATGAATAAAAAAGACTTACCTGCAATGTATTCCACTGCATTTTGGTGTTTGATTGTCGTTTACTAGTTTTTTTGGCTATATTGCGTAACCACTGTTACTCCTTTCATAGAACGAAGTTCACTTCGTTGTTGTTGTTGTTGTTGTTGTATGAAAATTATCCTATTTCTCCATAATTGAGCGAAACGTACATTAAATTTTTCCTTTTAGTAGTTTGTTACATTTATTTGTGTGTTGACATACATTTTATTTGTTGCGTTTTGCCAAGAACCCGAAAACAACACTATCCATCACGCTAATTAATTATCCATACAGCAAGAAAATTATAAGACGTTGTATGGAGAAATATTCTTTGCTCACTAAATTAGCAAAATGTACATTGAATATCGCTTTGAAGCTTACCTTTAGCGTCCTCTTGTTTTTCTTTGTATTCTGACTGCATTTCAGACCTCCTAGGCACTGTTTAATGCCTTTTTTTGGCGACAGTTTTTCACCCAGATGACAGTGGAGAGAAGAGAAGAGAAGGTTGGCAAACCTCTCTTGACCGGTTCCGCTCTCGGTGGCAATAAATTCCGCGACATTTGCGACATGGAGACAATTCCACCAGAAACAGATGTCCTGATAACTAACGCACATTTTCCATGATTCACATCGCCAAAATTCCCATTTCGAAGGTCCTAAATCGCCAACAAAGTGGACCATACCCCGCCGTGGTTAGCCGCGTCGAGAGCAGACCCGCAACGGACTCCAACCGTCAAGTCAACAATTTCAAACCGACGCGGGCTAGCAGGGTCAAATTGTTCAACCGTCAAAGGACAATTGGAGCATTTAGCCCACTGGGCACAGTAACTGATGATTCACTTCTCACATTGCACCTGGGAAGCACGTATCCCTAGTGATATGCGTTCCCCAACCTGGGAAACACGTATCCCTAGTAATATGTGATCCCCCACCTGGGAAACACATATCCCTAGTGATATGTGTTCCCCTCCTGGGAAACACATATCCCTAGTGATATGTGTTCCCCTGCCTAGAAAACACATATCCCTAGTGATATGTGTTCCCCCACCTGGAAAACACATATCGCAAGTGATACGTTTTCCCCAACCTGGGAAACACATATGCCTAGAGATATGTGTTCCCCAACCTGGGAAACACATATCCCTATGGTGATATGTGTTCCCCTACCTAGCCTAGGTAAGGGAACACATATCACTATAGAAATATGTGTTTCCTAGGTAACTTAGGAAACACATACCCCTATAGTGATATGTGTTCCCCCACCTGGGAAACACGTATCCCTAGTGATATCTGTTTCCCCACCTGGGAAACACGTATCCTAGTGATATGTGCTTCCCTAGCTAGGAAACACATATCTCTAGTGATTTGCTTTCCCCCACCTAGGAAACACGTATCCCTAGTGATATCTGTTTCCTCACCTGGGAAACACGTATCCCTAGAGATATGTGTTTCCCTACCTAGGAAACAAATATCTCTAGTGATTTGTTTTCCCCCACATTTAAAACAATAGAAAATTATAAATGTGAAGATTATCTCCGTCAGGTCACCGGTGTGCAACACCGGATAACTCTAACTAAACTCCGTCTAAGCAATCACAAATTGGCGATAGAGACAGGTCGGTATGTAAGACCTTATAACAAACCAGAAGAGAGGATCTGTCCTATCAGTAAAAAAGATGTAGAAGATGAAATACACTTTTTAACTCTGTGCCCTGCATATCAAGAAAAAAGAAGTACTTTATTTGAATACCTAAACAAAGAATACAGAATATCAGTAAACAGAATGGCACCAGATGTTTTTCTGTTGTTAATAAACCCTCCGAGCAAGAACAAACCAGTGCAAAAGTTAATTGCAAAATGCGTATTCGACTGCTATGAGAAAAGAAGATCATTAGTTGTTTAGGTTAACATTGATTTTAGTTCCACTAGTGTGCAATTTGTGTTATAATTTTAAATTATTTGGATAAAGTCAATATACATAGGACTGTATAAGACTCCAAATAAAACATTGTCTTGTCTTGTCTTGTCTTGGTATAGAGGAGGGGGGGGAGAAATACAAGTGGGAGCGTTGGAAAATAGAATTATAACAGATGTAAAATAGCTGAGGGGAAAAAGATGAAAACAGGATGGTGGTGTACAGGGGGTGAAGCCATACATAACAGGTGGGGGAGGGAAGCAAACAGAATAACAGACACAAAATAGGGGAGGGGGAGAAGAAGGAAGACAGGGGTATGGCAAACAATAGGGAAAGCTGGTGAAACTTGGAACAACAGACAAATAAACAAGGGAAACAGGAAAACAGGGAGGTTGCAAAGAGGGATCAAGGGATGTCACAGAGGTGAGACTGTGAGCAAATAGAATCACCGACACAAAATGACACTACATATTATAGAAGGCTCTAGTTTTTATCTGAATCACTATAACTCCTATTAAATGCTACAAAAATGTGACAATAAAATTACCTTGATGTAAAGGTTGAGTATTTTTGTTTCTGTCCTGGATGAAAAAGTATTTCTGCTTGCATGGTGTTCCTCAGCATAGGAGACATACTTCAAAGCTTTGAGGTGCTAAATTTCTGTCATCTTGTGTAACTAACTGGGAAATAAATGGAATTGAATGAGACCAGTGAATGCAAATGTATACTGTCTAACAACTTTTTTAAATTAATAAGCATAACATTTTGATCCTGAGAGTGCCAGGATTTTTTATAGGGGT